CACTCTTTCTCACATCAACAAGGTTGCGTTAGAAAAGTGAGAACAGTTTTTTAACAGATAAAACTGAAGATGACAAGAGCTATTAGACTTTAAAATAGGACACTTTCAATTATTTATACAAACCACTCAGAGCACTCTAGCAGTGTTTCAATACTTTTGAGTAACGATATACAGAGACAGTCTTTGAAGGTAGTAGCAATTACAATACTAGTAACATGGGCTGCTGCATATATACACATATATTTCTTAAAGGAAAGCACTGCAGTGTAAACTTAAATATATGGAGTAACTTATTCTAAACTTTCAGTCATAGACCAATTTCTGGCAAATTATTTTAAATTTCAATTTGACTTTGGTTACTAAAGAAGCAGATTTCTTATTCTGAAGACAACTAAGAGTGGTAGGCTTGAACACCAGGAATTGAAAGCTACTACATCCAGATTATGAAAATCTGGATATACATCATAACGTATCATTACAGAACAGAAGGTAAAACACAGACAAAAATTCAGAGAAGGCTCATTACAAGGGCCTGTCAGAAGCAAAGGTGCTTTGGCGTATGTTTGAGATGTGCAGGAGCTTCCTTACAAACTGGCAGATTGTGATGGTGTGGGTTGTCATACCACCAACAATACCAGCAGCACTTTGTGCCCTCTGCCCCACCAGGAACCCCATGTTCGGCTTCTCATATGACTTCTGAATTGCCTGTTGGCGTGAGACATGGTCTTACACCCCACACCCCACCCAGGGTGATGACCTGGGCTGGGCTAATGGGACAGTGGGACTTGCCTGCAGATGTTCCACCATGCAGGTGAGTGGCTCTTCCCACTGGACTTAAAAACTACTTAACGACTTAAAAAGAGGCCTTGATGTCATCTTGGGGAAAAGATTTGGCTGGGTGGGGGTACCTTACTGCCAGAGAGGCTTCACATACGTGAATCGTGAGTAGAGAGATGGCTGCCTTCCTCTACCCCAAATTAGGAGATCAATTTCCCCTTGAGTTGAGCAGGGCTTGCAGCATCTCACTCCTCCACCATTGCACATATCTGGGCAGTGCTGCTCTTAGCCTGTTGGCTGTATGGGTCCCCTTGTGAGCCTCCTATGGTGTTTTTAGGGTACACGTCAGCTGCATTCATTGCTGGCTCATCAGTTACTAAAACTGCATTCCCCCTGCAATGGATGGGGCAGAGCAAATTCCCACCATGTCTCAGCAGCACATTGCAGACCCATTTCAGAGCACTATCAAAAGACAAGGAAGAGTCACATTGCACATGGGGTTTTAAAGGCAGATGAGAACCTTGACTGATATAGCTGAAGATGAACAGGGAATCATCAAAACTTCACTATATATAAAAAAGAAACATGAACATGTTGTTGTGTTATCAATCAGGCTGTTGTACGGCATGGTTGGGAAGGTCTACACTTGCATGTATGTAATTCCTGTAACCTCAGAACCCCATTGCTATTTGGTCCTGAGGGACTATAAGCAGCAGAAATTACATGTGTGTAAATTTTAACTGCAAAATGCACTATTTGGTCCTAAAAAATATGAAAACTGTGAGAGAAAAATTATGCCTTTCATGAGTAGAGACATCCTGCTGTTTGATCATCTCTGAAAATTGACGAAACTGCTTATACTGCTAGTGGAGCTGCAAGTTAAGACTGAAAAAAACAACCCCTACAATAAGCAGTTTTACACCACTCGGAGCATCTGATTTGGACACCTCTCAATTCACAGAAGGGCAAACTTTTCCTAATTACAGAATTTAATTTTAAATCTTGGTAAAATACGAGTCATCACAATTTTGCGTCAAGTTTGCAATGCAGTGTTCTCCTTTCCTGCAAACTGTAAGCACACAGAGTAGACAAAGCACATCAATACTATACCAGGCAAAAAAGAGTAAAAGTTGAAAACTAACAGGCGCTGGCTGAGGTTGGGCCAAGACGGTGTGGTTTCCAGCTGAAGCCAAAATGGTGTCTGCTCTTACCTGGCCACCTGCAAAAATGATAGGTGCAGAGGCAGGTTTGGGACGGTAGGGGATGGTGGCACCTTTGGGTGGGGACTGCAGACAAAAACACAAAGCGATCAAAATGCAGAATGAAGCAGAGCTCGTATTAAAAAATCACTCCTTATCTTGGTCACCTCAAACAAGGCATGCAACTAGCCCAGCCAAGCCCACCCCACCCTGTCCTCCACCCCATCAGCCCAAAAGCAAGCCGGAGGCCAGTTGTCCGGGCTTCGAGGGGAAGAGACGAGTTCCTGACTGCACAGCCGAAACAGGCAGTGCTGGCACTTGCGACTTCATTACTGCTATTGTCAGATGAAGCTATGAAGCTTCATTAAGCATGTCAAGGTATTTCAGGAAACATGGGCACAATTTTGAAATTTGTCAACGATTTGGAAGAGTCCAGCCTGTGCTCTCGCTTTGTTAACACAGAGTACATCTGCTTATCGATCTTTCCTACACTGCTACACATCAAGGTTTCTTGTTTTACCAACTCAATTAAGTCAGCTGTTCAACGCGAATGACCATCCTGATCTCCCTTTCGTCTGACTGAGCTGGAAATTTGGAGAAAAATCCTCCTGTCTGCAGCAGGAGCATAACCACGGCCTTCATAATGCATGAAAAGGGAGTTTATTCCCTATAGCCCAAGGCAAGGACCCAAAGGGAAAACCCCTGACCGAGGCTAACTTTCTCCTCATAAATAAAGCAAGAGAATGTGTCTGTAAAAAAGGCTTCAAGCTGTCTGTGCAACACCTAGCAGCACGGTGCCCTGATTTCAGTGCATTAACTACAACTAAAGAAGGTAACAACAATATCACTTCCATTCATTAATATCATATAATTAGCTATTTCATGTCAATGAAAGTGTTTGTTGCCAAATTAAATATATGCTGCAAATTAGAGCATGTTCATTTTTTAAAGTGTTTGAAGCAGTAAACTGTAGTTAAGCCAATGTCTTCTTGTGCTGCTTGTGATTTGCCTAACACTAAAATTAAGTACTTATTATGTCAAAACTGGTTATTTAAAAAGTGGCTCTACCTGTGGGAAGGTAGGACTCTGTCTCTCTGATTTTGAGAAATGGTTTCTCTCATCTTCTTTAGCAAATAACTATTTATTCCACAAATGTCGCTTGGACAATAGACTACACCCTGTGTTCACAGAGCTGATAACTATTGCCATCACGTATTCCATCTCTAACAAACTAAAATTATTTTTTAATATTATCTTTCTCTTGCATTTTTATAAAGAAATTCCTTCTTCACAGTAATCCAGCAAAAACTGAAGCAAAAGTCACTTTTCCCCAGTAAAACTCTGGGGATTTATTAGTTTTTATGCTTTTATTTGCATTAGGCTGTATGACATTTTGATGCATTGCATACTTCTGAACAGCCAGTAGCCGTAGTGCTGTCTCAAACACTCCACTGTTTCTCCCCTCTTTAAAGAATAACAGAACAGTAGGGTGTCAGAGATCATCATGAGACAGCCCTTGACTAGACTTAGGTAAAAAACCAAACCAAACAAAAAAAACCCAGAAAATTTTCCAGCAGAAAATGTGATAAAAGCAGAGATGTTTCATGTTCCTTGTCAAAAATTATGGTTACTAGGTCAAAATATTTAATTTTGATTTGCTGAAATATTTTTTTTCAAATTTCTATTCAACTTAACCAGTTGAGAAATGTACTTGCATGAAATTATGGGCATTTTCAGCAAGGGTCAAAATGTCCAGATTTTTATATAAATTAATTTTTTATCATTTAATCTGAGAGCTAAAAAAATGCTGTCAAAATGAAACATTCTGGCTTTATGCAATGACCTGATCGTAAGGAAGCAAAAAGTCCTGGTAAATCTAAAACACACTAGTCAGAATTATTTCTATTTAAAACAAGACCTAGATGTTTTCTGCCCTATTCTGCATCAGAATAAAATGTTTTTCTCTCAGAACGGGTTGCAGCTCTATGCTGGACCTGGTTTGTTGTTTGACAGTGTCATGACAACCCTGGTCTTTGACTGCTAAACCCTGCTGCGAGAAGCTCTCGAACTCCAGGAAGGGCACAGTCTAACAGAGTCCCCTTGAAATCCCTGGCACGGGAAGGGCAGGCAGCACCCCTGGGGAACCCAGGGTAATTGAAAATTAACAATGTGTTTGAGCATCTCCCAAGTGACAGCCGATATGCCAAGCACTCACTTACCTCCAGCATAACCACGCATATTTGTTTCACGCACTGGATAATGGCGTCGGGAGTGCCCGATATAGTCACTGCACGCTCCGTGGAGTTTGGCAACATGTCCCCCGCTACCTGCACCTGGGCTCCTGTGGACTTGAGCAGAGACAAAGCAAAGAGAGCGTCACCGTCGGGCAGGCAGTGGCACCTCTCCAAAGTCAGTGATTCACTGATGTGATGGAGGGGACGCACCTCTAAACTTCTTGTCTTTTCTTTGCTAGATACATGGTAGAGCGCGTACGTAAACTCCTGCCCAGACAGGGTAATTGGGGTCTGGCAGGACATGGATTTGCCTGTTCAAGCCAATTTGCAAACACTCCCATGCTAGGAAGATTAGACCTCAGTAGCTGTTAATGAATCAAACTGTGACCTGAATTTCAGGACAAGACTTTTAACCCTCTCAAATACAGACAGTTGCAATGCTGACTAAAAAATGAAAAAGGTGAAATGAGGTACTTTTCAATAATAAAAAAAAAAGAAATGAAAAAAATGTTGATAACTGAAGAAGGTCTGCTAATCAAATGAGTTGCGGATAAATGGCTCTTTAATCCACTGGTGGCTGACTTGTGTCTCTGGATGAAATTCGGAGCTGCCTTGTGCTCTGGAATATCTCAGGATGGTACAGAAGCACTTCTAAATTATAATTAGTGTTGATTAAATATATGCACATCATCAACTTTTAGCTCATTAATGAACCCAAGGAGGTAATGAGCCAGTTTTGTTTTCTTTTTTTTTTTTTTTAAATTTCATCTTGGCACTTAATGTATCTTAACATTTAACCAGTTAACCAAAAAAAAAAAAAAAAACCCAAAGAAAGAAAAAAATACATGAGGCCAAAACAATCCCTGGCATTATTTCACAAACATCCTGGAAAACCTTTTCAGTCGATAGAGAAAAACCCAGGCATTTCATATTGAGTTAGCACTTTCACATATTACAAACAAAATCTATTCCTGACTGTTATTGCAATGCAATATTTTGGGCTTTTTAAAAAAAGTATTTTCAGTAACCATTGACTTTGTGTCAGTCAGCAAGGACTTAATTTGTTTTCCTGCTGGTTACATACAACACATGTTATTCTTCTTTCCAAAGACTGATTAAATTACTGATTGCATCTTCTGTTCACTAGTGCTGTTTAAGGCCAGAATATCAATTCCTTGCTCTATAATAGGCTTTGGAATTTTGCCATAATTTGATCAATCAGTCATGCTTTTCTTTTTTTTGTAATCTTATCTTGAAAATAGTACTGCAACCCTACATGTTGTTCCTGGGTACATGACTGAACACAAAAGACCATCCCTCGTGCAATTGCCGCTTAGTGTGTTGTGTGATGATGAAATTAGACCACATCTTGAGCTGGATGCTCCTTTTTTTTCTGTTTGATTGTATTTTCTGTTTAACATAGAGTTCGGGGTGTCTGTACATCTAGCACAAAATACTCTGCCAAATACTGCAGTCATTTATGCATTTGCTTCCAGTGCCAGTCTTGTTTATTCTTTTATTTTGGTCATATATCAGCAACGAAAAAATGAGTAATATATCGTCCATTACCCTTACGCTTAAGAAAATGTGCAGTGTGACTTCTCGCTGCATTAGCCTTATCAAAACACCTATTTGGCCAAACACTATCCTTTTACTTCCTTGTACTAGACTAGTAGGTAATTGCTTCTGAAACTACGCTCACCAGGATAATCACTTCAGTCATTTAATGTACACAGACCAAAAGACCAATCTCACCTTTAAAAACCCATGTCCTAAAAGCACTCACTCAGTGTTCTGGATGAGGTTATGGATATTTAAAATAAAATCCAAAGTATTGATAGCTGTAAAACCTAGAGCTAAGCACTCACTGGCACACGGTTCACACTCACGCGTGCTCCGATTTTAACACAATTCCTGCTGCCTGACAGTTCTCCTGGACACCTAAGAGATCTGGAGAACCTGGAGAAATCATGTCTTGTGGCTGAGGTCACCTCCGACTGCGTGCTCTGACAGTAGCTCTGCATTCCCCAGCTTTTTCCTGGCTTCACCTGCTGCCTGCCAGGGCTAGAGTGTGCAGCTTTCTGACTCACCCAGATACTAACTACTGCAAACACCAACAGTTTGGTGGCCATGCAGAGCCTGAGCCAGAAATGTCCCGTGCGTAAGGCAAACTGAACACCTTCCTTCCACCCAGCAAATGCACTTCAACACACAAATATCTTCTCCCATCTATACGAAGTTCTCTGACAAAGCTTTTTTGGAATTAAAGAAAAAAAAAGAGAGGCTTTCCTATGACCCTAACATCTGCACAGAAATAACTTTTTCTTCCCCTCAGGAGTCACCAAGTGACTCCTTTCTCCCACATCTCAAAAGCTGGTTTGACAATAAGGACTACTGAGAGGCATAGCTCCTGGAATTTTTGATGAAAAATAAAGTAACAGCATTCCAAGAAAAAAAAATCTGATTTGTAATTGCCTTTTATTTGCGGGTCTCAGTAAGCACAGAGACCCCATCAGATGGCAGGGCTCTGAACTGTTTTTCTGCGAGTTTACAGCAGACAATCTACGCATGTTTTCATGAACACAGTTTACAAAGCAAGAGGCACATGGGGGAATAACATGTTGTTTGCTTGGCAAAAAAACCCTCTGAAACAGCTTTTGGCAGCTCTGTCAGCTAATGGAAGTGGTACATGCTGGTACGTTACTTCCCTGTATGCAAGGAGAGAAAAGACCCTTTCAGTAGCGGCCAAATCCTGAAAGGTGAAGATAAGTCTTCAGAGACTTTGTTAAGAAAACTCCTGGGACAATCAAATTGGAATCAAAATGAAATAATTTGGAAGAACTTGAAAGTCAACAGGATGACACCCTTAACTGTCCTTTATCATCACCTTTCCTTCCAAGGCTACCATAAACTAACATTACATAGCAAATGCTGGATATAAAATTTTGCTCAAAGAATTTTTCACTCCTTTTTGACATTGGATCAGATTTTCTTTGATAGAAAAATATCCATTAACTTTTTTTCACATTTGAAACCAAACGTAAAAGCTCACTGAAACCTACTGTCTTGAATCTACATTTTAGACAAAAAAAGGAAATTTTGCTTTGGTAAAGCCTGTCAAAAGCTTCTGTTTTGACATAGTCAAATGAAAAAAATTTATCAGCGTGTTATCTTGATATTCAACAGCTCATTCCATGTTGGAATGAATACAAATTTAGAAGTAGTGCTCTCACTTTCTCCAGAATAAAAATCCGTATTTCTGAAATGTCCTATTCAGATTTTTTCTACGTAACTAAACATGTACCTAATTTTCTTGTTTGACTGATTACAAACATTGGATTCTTGGCTTGGCATGTGCTATGTTGTTACAGTCATGCATGGAAGAATTAAAACTGGCACCGTATGATAATTTTTGCATTTTCTGGTTAAAGGAAAAAGTGGTTGCTAGCACAGCACATTGAATGAATACCTTTAGATAAAGTCTGGATTAAAAAAAGTCAGTAAGGGTTTGGATTGCATGAAATCAGGTCACCTGTGTCACAGTGAGATAAGGGAGAAACAGCAAAGAAGTATGAAAATAATTTGTTTTTAAAAAGTAGATCAAGCATTTGAACTACTAACCTGGACTCCCCAGTGCTACGTGGGCTTTTCTCTGGCTGCAAGGGTGGCAGCTAATTTGGAAATGGCTGCAACTTGGGATCACCTGAGTATTGCTGGGGAGGGGCTGTGCCTGAACAGAAACTGGATGAGCCATTTCTGTCGCTAAACTGTTGCTTTGCTAAATTGTGCATCAGAGACTAGTATGTTGTAAAGCTATTTCTTTATTTCACACACGGTCTTTAGCTTCAAGGAAGGTAGAAGGGTACCACTGTGCTGGCCCCCTGCTTCCCCCAGAGCAAGGCTTTTCCAGGCTCTTCACTCAGCACATGCTCACGTTTGTGTGATGAGCAAGGTGCAGCGGCCGATGGTGGCAGGGCATGCTGCGGTAGGATGCCGAGCTAGCCAGTGTTCCCAGCAGACATCCCAAGACTTACCTCCCTGATTTCTTTGATTTTGGAACCTCCTTTTCCTATAAGGGATCCACACTGACTTGCCGGGACGACGAGCCGCAGTGTTACAGGCGGTTTGCTTGTCACTGTGCTGTTTGTCATTGAAGCGTTTATGTCCTGTAATCACAACGTCAGTAAGAATTAGTGCAGGATTTGTCATTCCTGGTAAGCACTGAAGGGCTCAGAGCAAGTGCCCGAGCTGTTCGTGGAGACCTGGGAAGCGTGCAACCTGTCGTGGTTTGTTTCTGTTGCAGGTTTCTGTTGTTCTGGCTCTGCCAGTGATACGCCGTAAGCACGAACTGCACAAGCAGCTTGTGCCAGAGGAACCCTTCCTTTTGCTGCCTGGCGTTGCAGGTCCGCACTGCGGGACCAGAGGACAGTCTCTGAGGCAAGATGAGGAGGAGGAGGAGGCGGTATCTGTCATTAGACCAGCCGAAGCAGATGGAAAAGACAAAGAGGCTTTTGAATTCACAGGCCCCCAAATCCTGATTTGGTCTCCTTTCCACTATCTCAATCAGAACACTTCTACCTAAACAATACATCTTTACATTTCACGCAATTTCTTGTCAGGTTTGATACAAAGAAAAAAGGTTAAAAAAGGGAATGACAGATAATCTGTGAATAGGCTGAAGCAGAGAAAATCAGATTATTTTGATAAATATTTGACTGCCCCCAGATTTGATTTCTCTTTTGTAGCAGATCCATAAGCATTTGTAGTGTTACATAATTTCTAAAATCTTTTCCGTCACAGCTATGTAACCAGAGTACAAATAGCTCACCAGAACAGCAATTAGCTGTATCCAGGTAATGTAACCTGTATCTGTGTATCTCATTATCCAATGAGACTACACTGCAGGTTTTCATAAGCATTTCAATATACTACTTATTGCAAGGTTTACATTGTTTTAAATATATTTTGCTAGTTCAATATCTTCTAGGCAAGACAAAACAATCCCTCTAATGTCTTCATCACAGAGGAAAAGATAAAGCTTATCTTCCCACTGATTGATGGAATGCTGTTGAGAGCACTTAGGATCACAAAAAAAAGCCACAAGCTGCACAGCACCTGTCCAACAACTCATGAGAATCTCGATGTGGTTTGCTAACACTAGCCACGAGCTGAAAAGACCATCTCATCCATCTGTGAGGTGGCATGGCACAGCTATTACACCCTTCACAGAAATGCTACCCAAAAGATTAGGACAGGAGCAACAGAAAACATGCATTTCATATTCATTCAACCTACTTGTGACACAACAAGAGTTC